CCGCTAAGCTAAAGGTGGCTAATGTTGGGCTATAAAGGAACTACAGCACGGTCACATGACTTCACGTCACCACCGCTAAGCTAAAGGTGGCTAATGTTGGGCTATAAAGGAACTACAGCACGGTCACATGACTTCACGTCACCACCGCTAAGCTAAAGGAGGCTAATGTTGGGCGTGATGACGTTTAGTCGTCTCATTTAGACTCTTGTTAGCTATCCGATTACGTGCTATGTTGTGCTTACTGAATCTATCTAACATCTTACATGTTAGCATTCTTTGATTCAGTTAGCATAACATTGGTCTTTCTTTGATTCAGTTAGCATAACATTGGTCTTTCTTTGATTCAGTTAGCATAACATTAGCCTTTCTTTGATTCAGTTAGCATAACATTAGCCTTGCTTTGTTTCAGTTAGCATAACATTAGCCTTGCTTTGTTTCAGTTAGCATAACATTAGCCTTGCTTTGTTTCAGTTAGCATAACATTAGCCTTTCTTTGATTCAGTTAGCATAACATTAGCCTTTCTTTGATTCAGTTAGCATAACATTAGCCTTTCTTTGATTCAGTTAGCATAACATTAGCTTATCTTTGATTCAGTGCGAAAATGCACATTTCCGGCTTCAGGACTCATTCCTGCACCACTCCATTGCTATGGGTTTTATTGTTTCACTACTGAACTGTTTCCTCCCTCTATTGTCTTATTAGAGGTTGTGAAGCAGAAGTGAGAAGCAGAAGTGAGAGTGAGAGTCTATATATTTGTCTTTTATCTCACCGTTCCCATAGAGCAGCAGCAGGCCGCTCACCATCAGGACTGGATGCCAGTTAAACTGCAGCGCTGACCCGTCCCACGCAAAGCCCCCCCGCCAGTAGCTGCTCCACACACTCACACACACCAACACACACACACTCAGGCTCAGCAGCAGCAGGTAGCTCAGGTAGAAGCTCAGGACGGACGCCATGACGGACGGGTCTGAGGCCTGGGACAGAAGAGGTGAGGGGGTGCAGCAGTATCATTTTGTAATCAATATATATTTCTGTGTGACGCAAAACATAAAAGGCAACCGTTCAGGTAAGGTCAAATTCATCTGTTCAGATCTGAAGAAATTACTTTTGGCTTAATTATATAAACACTAGAAACAGCGCACATATACAAATGAGTGGCATTTATCTTAAATTATTTAAAACAATCTTAACTTGTCTATTAACAAATGTGAATAAAAGCGGTTGAATAATTGTCGATCATTTCCTCTCACCTTTACCTGCCCCTCTTTATCAATCAGCAACATTTGAAACTCTTTATAACACTGACAATAAGCTGGATGATAAATACATGTAATGCATTTTAAGCGTGTGTAATCTTCTAAATTAAACTTATCAACAAAATCAAGCTCGGTTTAAAATGCACCTTCCCCTTTCCTACATCACTCAAGATTGAGCAACTCTCCATAATGTATTCTAAACTCCGCCTGCTGCCTTTATTAATCAGCACCACTTCAAACCCTTTCAAATGATACGATGATATATTGGATGATCTGAGAGCGTGTCTTACCTGCAGCTGCAGCTCGTCTGGACTAAAGGAAAACCAGAAATAAGTGATGGTGTTATCTTGTGATTTCCCCATTTATTCTCGACTGATACTCACTGTGTTGGTGTTTCTCACTTCCTGTTTCTCCTCTGTAGATAAACTCTCACTTCCTCTTCCAGTCGAGCAGAGGGGGAGGCTGAGGGAACAGCTGGAGGAACAGCTGGGAGAACTATGCATCTGATGCTATATCCACTACCTGTGAATACACATATCACAGAGAGAGAAGTCAGAAGTGAAACTTTAAAGGTCCCCGATTCTACTGTTTCTCATCCAAAACACTCACGAGCAGTCCGTTATCAGACAGGCAAACAAAATGGTGTCTGATCCCCCCCACATACTCCACCTAGAATTCCAGCTCCTACCTTCTGGTAGAAGATTCAGGGTTCCCAAGAGCAGGCTGAACCGCTATAAGCACTCATTCCTACCTCTGTCCATTAAGCTTCTGAACATTCACATGAAATGAAATGTAGTCAAATGTACTTTTTAAATGTTGGCCATGAGAGTTGTGCAATTGGTCGCCATTGTCAGTATGTGCGTATTGTGTTTGTTCAAACGGTGTATGACTGATGGTATGTGTGTGTCTCTTAAAGTCCACCATGTTTGTATATGTACATGTATGCGGAACTGCAGGACGGAGTCCAGAACAAATGTCCTTACGGGGACGATAAAGTATATCGTATCGTATCAATACATCACAGGTCTCAGATATATACAGAGCCTGTCTCTGATTGGCTGAAACACCAAACAGATCATTGCAGCATTACCCATAATCCCCTCTGTTTCAGCCCTGTTTCCAAAGTGCTGATTCTCTGTCTGTTACTTTAGATGAAAATAAGGAGCCCCTCCCCACGCCCCTCTGAGAGACATTTGGTTACAAAGAACTCAATGGAGCTCTAGGAGGAGATTCAGGTGATAAGGGGGGGGGGGTTACCTTGGGTTGCTGATTGGCTAATGGTTACTACAAGACAAAACATTGTTATGACATCATAAAGTGGCCAAAATCTGTTTTTATAGAAATGGATCAGGACAAAAGAGAGAGAAT